GACACCACTTCAGCTGCTCAGGCTTTGTGCAGTAGGTTTCAGAGCACCTCATTAGTCTCTCTGGACATGGGGACCTAGCAATTCATTGCATTTTGTATTTCAAGTCAAATATTTTGTCTATTAGAGTATCTTAGCAGTTGTAAGCCTGATTAGTTCATTGCCAGTTTCACTATCCAGAACTCACAGAAAATAATTATTTGAGGATGACATTACAAAGCTAGGTATTATTTTGAGATAATGAGAGCATTCAAAACCACAAAGACTTTCAGCAAATCAGGCTGCACTAATTATTCATTTTTGCTTAATTATAAAGGGATATTAGCATTTGGATACATCACTGATTCCACGTCTCAGTTCTACAACAGTTCCTCGTTGGACAAAAAAGAAAAAGGTCTTTTGGCAACTACTGTCCGTCTCTGTACAGCGCCACAAACATAGATTCCTAGATTTTTAAGGTCAGAAGAGATTTTTAAGTCATCTACTTTATCATCTGAAATTCCACAAGCCACAAAAAAAAGATACAGGGCTGTACAATTAATGTGTATTTATAAAACTAATTACAGTTACTTCAGATCAATTGCCAGCATGCAAGAACTATAGTGGTTCTTACACCAACGGGAGCTTTTTCAAACTTGCTGCAAAGGCATAACAAGATTTTGGGGTGCGAAGCTATAACTGGACAAATTCAGCCTCCAAATAAGATGCAACCTTCAAAGTGTAATCTGCTGTTGTGCCACACGTTCTTACAGATGTGCATCAGAACATCGGAGGTTGGCAGGTCTGGAGATGGGACACTGCAAAGGGCTGGGGCACGGTGAAGAAAGAATTTTCCCCTAAGTCGGCTAAGCAGGATTGCCTTGCCTTCTTCCGCAGCTCATCTTCTGGGATCTCCTATGGAGATTTCACGTAATTGGCAGTTTATGTACTGCACAGGGCTCAAGTGCTGAGAACACGCTGGCTCTCCCAACCCAACCTCTCTGGGTTTAACATAGGCACACCTGGGTGAAACTCTGTGGCTCTGAAGTTGGACTAAAGCTGATCCCTCATCATTCATTCTGACCTTAAAATCTTCAAATATTGACATTTGGTCAATACAGAACATGAATAAGTGTTGCCACAAGCAGTGGGTTTCCTTGAGTTTTTGATTGCCGTGACCAAAAAAAACATTAAAACACCGGTTACATTGTGTTAGATGATCCACTGCTGGCAGCGATACACACACTGCTAAATTGGGGTAAATGTTAAGTGTTTGCATGCTTGTCTTACTTTTGCCAACAGCCAATTACCATAGCTAATATGCAATAATTTGCTCACATGCCTAAGTTAATTTAACTTTTTTTTTTGGTCTCGGAATAACAGACTCAGGACTGTATTTCCATCACTGAGAGGAGCATATCTGAACATTTCTGTTTGGAAAGTTAGGTGTATCAGTTGTCAGATCTCCTGCATGGTAGTGGGGAGAGGAAAAAAAAAGACGAGTGCTGTTTCTCCATCTGCAAGTTACGCCACTAAACAAAGACAGAACCTAGAAAGTACATATTTTCCAGTGTTTACCACAAAGCCTAAATATTACAGCTCCTTCCTCCTGCTTTCTCAGAACTGGGGCATAATCAGATAAGGAGAAGTCTGCGAATTTACACGGTCAGGAGGTTTTCACAGACGGTAGAGTTTTCCATTGCGCTGGTAGCCAACAAGGCTGCAGGGGAAACACATGGCTCGCATTCAACGCTGCCTCAGCGCACCCGGAGTGAGCGCAGCTCTAACACGGAGCAGGTCCCCGGTGCCACGCAGCACATGCAGCCTTCTGTGCATGTCAGGCACACAAACCTCACCAGTGCAGTCCCACACCAGGCTGGGGAGACGGCCCTGGTGATTTATCACAGTTAAAAAATGGAAGATTAATTTATCACACTCTGCACAAGAAACCTAGCTGTCTGTCACGACAGAGGGGAGAAAAGACAACTTGGCAGAAAGAGAACGGGAAAGTATAAAAAAAGATAACACGGAGGACCAATCAATTAAAATGCAGAATGTATAGCGTTGCACGTATTGCAGAGACAGCAGCTACATGATCTCTACAGTGATGAGGCATGACACAAGTTTAATAAGAGAAGGAAGGGGTTAGGATCTCTGGCGAGATCTCCCTTTTCATTTTGGAATCCATTAATAGTCCAGTATTTTTGTCTCCCTCATCCTCACACTTCAGAAAGTTCACATATTGCCTTAATCATTGCTGCTTCTCAACATGCCCCGGCCAAGTATCAAACATTTCTTGTCTGTGCTTTGTGCTGTGCCTCTCCCCTCCTCTTCCCGAGCAGAGGACTGAGCACACCACACAGGGATTTAGGGATGTTCTGGGTTTGTTTTCAGAGAAGACAAAGCTAAAGAAGTGCAGATACACTGCAACATGCGTCCAGATGGTGTTTGCAGCAGTCCACTGCTGTGCTGCCAGCACTCCCACTCACCAGCCTGCAGCAGACACTCATGAACATAATTTCCTAACCCACACCATGTCCACAGCATTGGGCAGTTCCTTTGTGCCTGCAATGTGGGGTTGCCGGCCAGATGATTCAAACCTTTTATTTGGGCCTATAAGTTGTTTGGCTCAGGCCACGAAACACCGTGAGAAAATCCAGGACCTTAAAATGTGACTTGATGTTTTCAGAGGTGTCGAGGACAAAGGGCAGAGGAGAGCTGTGATGTGCTTACAGACATCTGATTTGGTGGAGACTTTTTCTGTACTGATATCCTCACAAGTGGACATGTACCAGCGCTGCAGTCAGGAGGTAAATGATTATTCTGATGATATCTAGCATCATCAGAGCACTCTGATGCAACACTGTTACAACAGAAGATGGATAACATCCACCAGAAAAAAAATAATCCTGCCGGGAATTTACTTTCAGGCATCAGGCTTTAAGAAAAGGATATACTGCTTGGAGATTTTGGACACCAAAAGTCACTCTCAACTGTTTTACTCCTTTCCTAAGGAAAGTCAACTCAGGACTTTACGTAGGCAAGTTGAAATGTGAAACGAGTATTTGTTCATAAGAACAGAATCCCTCTTAGCTGTCTCAAAAATTTCTGAGAGTCTGAATTAAAAAATAAACAAAAAAACCCTCAAACCAAAACCACCCTCGCAAACAAATGAAAAAAGCCAGAACATAACTTCAACACCAGGCATACATTACTTGGTTTCATTAAATTAAACCTTCCAGGAAGATTCTTGGTTTTGCTTTAGTTTTTCCCCTCCGAGCGGGAATGCCAGCTTGCTGGTTGCCCAGCTGCTTCAGCTTTATTACGGGTTTTGCTGTCCCCTGGGCACTGGCGGCCACATGGGCCAACGTGTCCCAGGGCAGCACCAAAGCCACATCTGTGAGCGTTGGAGCTTGATGCGATGGACACCAAGGTCGTGGGGGTTGCAGGTTACGTCCCCTTGAGACCAGCCCCAGCACAAGCAGAAGAGGGGCAGCAAGGAGAGTTGCGCACCCCCCTCCTTTTAGCAATCCCTAATGATAACAGGGTACATGCAGGGAAGGGGCAGGTGATACAGGAGGCACCCTAAGGGTACTGTGTAAGGGCAAATTAGACTGTGAGCAGTGGCACGTGGTCTTCCAGCTTTGTTAGTCCGATCCTGGCGTGGGCTGTGATAATTATCACTACGTCATCAGTGCTTATGGGGAGTCTGAGGATGCAGAGCAGTTCCCAACAGGCAGCACAGATGAAGATACGCCCTTCCGAGGGGAGGAGAGCATCGTGAGGATAACTATGCCAGGGGCTCCAAAAACGTTCCCTGGCTGGTTTTCCTCACTGGCACAGAAAAACCTAAGGGACTGTCTTGCAGCAGCTGGAGGTAGATCAGCCATGGGCAACCTGTACTGCGGGCAGCAGCACTCATTTGCAGTTTTCAGGGGAAAGCAGGCACAGCGGGAAATGTGGAGCTTTACAACTGTTCACAAAGACGGATGCAATTGCAGAAGAATTAGCATAAGACGAATGCATTTGCACCTACAAAGCGAGCTACTTTCAGTGGTAAAAGTGTGTCAAAAATTTATGTGCAAAATTGCGAAACAATTAGATGAGAAACCTGCTTTTGAAATTGTAGCCTGGGCCCTACTTCTAAAGAGCCTTTCATCTCTCCTCTGTCTCTGAATTCAGAAAAGATTCTCTCCACATTTGAGATCATCTGTCTCCCTGTTTAATAGCAGTCCAATTATGATTATTTATTAATATTTCATAAGGATGATCAGGCCTTTCCCTTACCCTGTGTGTGAAGGTAAGACCCAGTGATTTACAAGTCCCCCGTTTTCCTTCAGCCAGACCAACAGCCCCATCACAAGGCTTCAAAATGTTAAGGAATGGTCACGGAAGAGCTTTACAGTAATATTTTTCCCAAAATGAATTCCAGAAAGGTTTCTTAAAGAAACACATTCACTACCAATGACAAGGATAGTGATTCATAAGCCATAAAGCCTTGCAAAGGCAGGATCACACATGACAACCTTTCCATGCGCCAGGTAGCTCCCATTTATCACCTTGTCAGTTTTCTAATGCGGATTCCGATAATGAAGAAAGTATTTCCTTCGGGGAGGAAACTTATCAAGATGCCAAGTATTTTTCCCAGTGACCAATCGCGTGTCATGAAAACCAAGGTCCAACACTGGCTGAGGACAGGAGCAGTTGGACAGGTACGGAAATCTTGCTGCTCGGCAAGGTCCCAGACAATTTTTACTCACCTCTAGTGTAGTCAATACAATCTTCTCAACTGAAGAAAAATAAGCCTCCCACAAGAACTGTGTCTGCTGTCTAAGTGCTAGGATTTTATCCTGATGGATAGACCTGATTGTAGAAGGAATCTGTAATACAAGATGTAATATAGTCAGAAGCTTCAGAAAACAACACAATCTCATCGAATTAATATGCTGCTGACAAGCCCTCTCCTCTATTAGCAAACTGCACAGCTTCAGCGCTCCTGTCCGACAGAGATGCGTGTGTCAACAGCTAAAGCCTTGATGTAAAATGAACGAGACACAACCCTTTATAACCTTTGGTACTGAATATATGATTTTTTTTTAATCTGCTTTCTTTTAGTTTTTGATTGGTTTATGGTAACAAAAGCTCCCTGTCCCCAGCACTGTGGCGTGGCACAGTAAGGAGCTCCTCCATACATCCCTCATGCACAAAGGTTTTCACGGACTAGTATTTTAACAAACTAGTAGCTGCACGTCTTGAGAGTCCAACAATAATCCCCACTCTCAAAGTATATTAAAGGGATCTGGAATTGCATTGACTGCAGCACTAAGTGCCCTAAGGAAAACATAGCAACATCTTAAGTAAGACTCCACTTTTTGGGAGCCTATGGATCAAATTGCATTTTCCACATTACTATGGGTGGAAAGAATAATGACTTCCACAATACCTGTTATCCACAAGGGAAAACATTGCTTCTTTTTTCCCCTTTCCATTAAATCAATCCATTAATCCTGGTATAAGTTGCCTTATAAATACAACCCAAATTGTCCTGCTATAATGCTTTGCCATTAAAAAATTTAACTGCTCACTGGATCAGAAGGGGATGGCTTCAATTCTATGTCTTTACCCACCCCCGTGTCCCTCTTCCCCACTGGAGGGAAACTAATGTACATACGTATCATTGCTTAACTTCTTAGGACCCTGACCAAGGCCTCCAGTAAACCACTTCGACAATGCCAAGTGACATTATCAAGGGAATTTAACTGCAATTTGCTTCAATTGCAAGAGCTACTCACAGCACCAGAAAGGCATCTAGGATACTTTGCTGACTTGTGTTCTTTTTTTTTCTAGGAATGAAGCGTTGTGCTTTTGCACCTATTTATTTGTAATTTTGAATTAGGCCACTTTGTTCTCACTCATTTCTCATAAATCTTTTACTGAAGTTGCCAGTTCTAAAAGCACATACCTGGGCTGTGTGTTGCTTTTTGCATATCACAGCTTACTCTGAAGTTTACCCGCACTCCACCACACCCCGCTCTTTCCTGACCAGAACACACTTTGCTTATTCCTAAAATATTCTGAGAGGTGGCAGTGATCGTTATTTGCTTTCACATGCTCCTGAATCAAATGATTTCAGATGAAACATTTTCGCAAAGAAAATTCGAGATTTTAAGAATTTAAATGTAAAAAATTTCCACAAGAATCGGTAAATTCTTTACAGCATACTTTGCATGCAGGTGTGGAGACTGCGTCCAAAAGGACCACGACTCCACAGGGTACAGTACCAGGTGGGACAATCTGTTTCCTCTAAGACCTTCATCTCTTAGACCTTCATTTTAGAGGCACTGTTAACTATAATACAGGATTTGAGCTTATGAGAGAGTTAGCACTACAGCATGGTGGAACAGAAGAAAATGTTCAGGCTGTTGAAGATGGTACTGTACGTTCCTTCTCTATAGGCCCTTTAGGTAAAATATTCCCTGCAAAACTAGTATAAAAGATAAAAGCTAAAAAACTGTATTAGTGCATGTTTTTCTAACTGATCACGTCCAAACAGTGATGAACTGCTTCAAATTTAATTTTTTGGAGTGAATATTCTTTCTTTTCATTACTTTTCCAGTAAGTAGAGGAATAATGAACATTACCTGTATGGGCTCTATGCAGATGTGTCTTAATCACACCTTGATCATTATCAACAACAAACACATGATCAAAGTCACGTCACCGTGGTGATATGGCATTTTTTCTATAAACTTAAACATTTCATTGCATTATGGGCATCCTTGAGTGTGTATGTACGTGCAGGAGTGAGAAATAAAATCAATACTCATTCCCAACTACGTCTTTTGAAAGGGAGGGCTGCTCTGACTGTGAAGGTTACTGCAAGAAGTTATGATTTTACAGACCACACCGTGCGTGTGAGTGCCTGCAAGCAGTGCCAAGGTTAAAAAAAAGCCTTGGTGTCTGCTCTGTTACAACAGCTGGAAAGAAAAATCAGAGCTCCCATTTTAACTGCATTTGCCTATTAGTTATTAATCTACTTGTCCAGAAAGACAGGTGGGGAAAATGATGTATTAATACTAATCTGGCGGGATTACACTGGAATTATTAGAACGGGATGACGTCTTAATAAAAGGTCATTTCAGTAATAAGTAGGGGGAAGGGAAAAACCATCCTGCACAAATAAATGCGGAAAGGCTGGATTAAGCTCTCCCAGCGCTATGATGAGGAGAATATGCAAATAAAAACATTCGAGCTGCTCTCAAACAGGAAATGAAAAACTGTAACATAACAAAAAGATTTCCCAGAACAGACATTCAGGCCCTCTGCCAGCTCTTTAAAAACACTGTTAATAACGGTGCAGTAGCTGTTCAATATGGAAGCAGCTGTGAAGAGAACGAATGGCATGTTACCGGAAAGCATGAAGATCAGCAAATTATTATTATTTAAAGAGAGAAATAACTTTGCTCAGAAAAATGAATCAGAAACTCAGAAGCAAGAATGAAATGGCCCTTTTATATTTGCAGCTTGTATCACATTAAAGAGAATAGGCAGCACTTCGCAAGGCTTGCTAGGCCAGCTCTTCACAAATATTTACTTCTTCAGACAAGTAAATAGGCATCTACTAAAATTTTCAAAGGTACTTCATTTTTGGGGTGCCGAGACACCTGTACCTTTGAAGGCTTCTCTCCATGGATGACAACAGCTTGCTACTTTGGAAATGAGTTAAATTCAACCATGAAAAAAATCCCTCTTAGTGGCTACTTAGTGGCTACTTAGTGGCTATTGTAAATCTTGTGGATCTCAGCTTCATGCTAGGCTACAGCATTTTATCAAATGCTACTCCTGGGAAACCAACTTTTCAAGAGCTTTTTCTAACACCAACTTCTCCACATACTTTACCGAATGTATTTAGACTATAAAACCAACTAGGGAAACAGAAAAAAAAAAAAAAAAGTAGTGAATTTAAAACCAAAGTAGGTGCTGAAGGTAGCAGGGAATTTTTAACTTCTCAGCCGACTTTTGTTCCATGATCGCAAGGAGATTAACAATAAGTGACATGAACACTGCTTCAGAAGGCAATGTTACGTGGTCCAGATATCAGAAAAGGGACAGATTCTGCTTCCCACAAAACTGTTAGGTGGTAACTCCTGTCGGAGAAAATACCCGCTTTCCTGATGAGTCCCTTCAGTACCTGCCCGCCAGACACATAGCACTGGTGGGACCCCTGAGGATAAACTATTTTGAAGGATGAGAGCAGAACTTGCCTTCAAATGTCTTCTCTCTCATCAGAGCACCAGGCCCAGGACAGTCCTGCCTCAGAGAGGCATCCAGGTGCTCCACACCAGAAGAGATTTCATGCTCTTAGGAAAAATAAGAGAGTCTCTTGCATTTAAGAATGTGGCCTGGTGGCTGCAATGACCTTCAGGTCAAAAAATGAATGATGTCATATTAAATGAGTTCATAGCCAGTGTGACACAGACAATCTCTTCATGATAAAAATTCTTTTACAGCCCTGACCTTTTGGATTCATCTTCCCCGTCCATTTAGATGGCGGCAGCAATAATCAACTGATCTGCTGAAGGCCGCGGTCTTTTTCTTACCTGTAATAACAATCTCTCATCGCCTATGACGGCAGCTTGGTTCCAATCAATCACTTCCGAGAACGGCAACTCCCATCCGTTGCTGAGCATAACCGGGACGCAGGCAGCCTGCATGCACACAGAGGCATCGCGGTGGTTAGCGGGTACCCGATGATTAGGGCAAGTTTTGAGGCTTGCGCCAATACCATGACCGTTGTTTTCTTCACAAGCTCAGAAGGAGAGGCGACGCGGCGAAGAATGCCAGAAGCTAGAGGCCACAGGAGGGCAGCCCAAATGTTTACAGTTTTCCATTTTGCGCTTATTCATATTCACTGAAAGGTGGGGTTTGCATGGAGAGAGGCATTTGAAATTCGGTGCTTATGCTGCCAGGCGAGGGCAGAACTGTTAAAATGCTGTAGATGTAACACCGGAGAATTTAATACAAAATGATGGCCTCCCTCGCTGCTTTGTGAACCATTCAGCAGGGCACTAACTCCCTCAATTTTTATAATATGTTGCACGACAACCCTACAGAAAATGTATATCACATTTAATTCCAGAGCAGTTTTTCCACAAAGGAGGAGTGAATTCCCTATCCTGTTTGATATCAGCTCTCCAGACAGAGGCAATTGCACAAACACAACTCATCTGTCATCACCCGTCTACAAAAATAAGAATTGCTTTCTGTCTTAAAACAAACAAAGAGTATACATATTTAGGATCTATTTTGTACTAGTATGATCTCTCTAAATTATTTAATCTTTTACGAGTTCCACAAGCTCCTCTGCACAGACAGCAAGTTTGTGAATATTCAGTATTTCCGTAAATAAATGATTGCCACTACGTTCTGGTCAGCTGGATCGCACATGAGATCCAAACCAAAGGCCTCCTGATGTGACGCAAGAACCTACTACCAAAGGATCTGCATCGAGCCCGTGCTCTGGTGCGGTTTCTTTTGGATCAAGCCAAGCATAAGTGCTCTGAATTTGGTCCCGGCTGGTGTCAGTCCCTCCTGTACCTCTCAAAAGATGGTATAAAGAGGAACCTTTCAGACTGCTGTACCTTCCTTGGTAACATGTATTACACACAGAGTCTTAGACTGGTCAAGCCTCTGCGTTACAGCAGTGCTTATAACGTGTAAAGAACTGTGATCTTCTGTAAGGAAATGATATTAATGCATGAAAAATCCAAGCAGAAAACACTTAGCAATGTGTTTTCATGTTTAAAACATTCCACTAATGTGGATTTCGTCTTTCAACGTGCCCTGGAGCCAGACAGGAATTGGGAATTCATCATAATCGGTGAATGCTTCTGCTAGCCTGCTAGGAAAATCCTCAGTGCCTGCATTTTACCATCATTGACCTGGAGCCTCCAAGTTCTGTACAGTGAGATACACTCCCTGATTTATTCTTCTGAGACAACACATCTAACAGAGGCCGCATGACTTGTGGCCCAGATGACAGAAGAGCTGAACAGTGCTCTTCATGAGGATCTGAAGTGACTCGTGATGCCAAATAAGCCAGTCCCACTTCTTCCTCCAAAGAGGCTGGAAAGGGAACACGCTTTGCAGGCTCCTAATCCTCTCATGAGTAGGAACAAAGAGGTAAGTGACAGTCCAGAACTTGGATCTCAAATGTGACGGTAGGAGTGGGGTTTAGTGGTTAAACCTAAGTGTCCAGCACATTTGGGATACTCTAAGGTATCCAAGAAACCCATCAAAGGCTGGCAGACATGACACAGGATCTACTGGAGAAGTTCTGGAGAAGCAGCAGAATGCCAGAAGGGTACCCCACGGCTTCTAAAATCACATTATACACCTACACTTAGGAACCTGAATCCTGCTCTGCATTGCAGTAAACAATGCACTTTAATAGTGGCTGGGACGTTTTGTGGTTGATGAAGACAAGTGATGTGATGCTATTCATTAATGGCTTTACTGGCAATGCTGGGACACTTCCCAAAATGGCAAAAGGACATCCAGAGGCAGGACCCTGTAAGGTGTCCTCATTTGCCATCTCAATGACAACAAGAAGTGCCTCAGCCTCCCCTTTCCTCCACTCCAGCCCCCATGGAAATCCAGATGCCAGTCCCTGCAGCATCTCCCAAGATTCTCTGTACAGCTGACTGAAGACCCAGGACCCCAGGGCTGAGTTGATGCTTGCCAAAAAAAAAGAGTCACGCCAGCTACAGCCAGAGTAGGTCAGTGTCAGGCTTGATCACCATGTTGCCAAGCCGCACTGCCACAGTGACTCAGGAGCAACGCCTTTTGCCTCTGCTGCTGGCCAACAACAAAAAAGGGACACCATTAATTAAAATGTTTTTAAGAGGTGAAGGGGATTTGCGTGCTGCCCCAGACACACCAAGCTCCCAGAGATCAGTCTATATCCACCTTCATGTGAAGCTTCCATCTGGGCTTTACGAGCTCCGGGTCACCTTCTGCACGTTCAGCAAACACCATCTCAAGACAGGCAATGTGTAAGCAGGTCTGTTTTGGTTAAGTGAAAACAGCAAGCTGTTTTTACTGCCCCAGGGCTTACTTGTAGAGGCCAGTGTCTCCCATGGGACGTCTCACAGCTTGACAAAATACAGCTCTAAACTGGTCCAAGCTCTCAGCCCCACCACATCCAGGGAAACCCTTTTCCTGGAGGTAACACAATTCAACCTTCAGATGAGCTCAGTGCTCAGCCTCTCCTGGGAAGAAGCTGCCAATTGCTCCAGAAGTATGAATAGAGGCTTTCGCAAAGTGGATTACTGTCCACCAGGGAAATGAAACACATTTCCCTCCTCCCCATCTCCTTGCTATTGCATGCTGAATTGCAGCCAGTGTAGCCGATGCTTTCAACTGCAGCTCTTACCTGCAAGGCTTCCAGAAACCTGAAAGAGCCAAGCCTGCGCCCACGGGGAACCAGACAGAAAGTGGCATTGTGCAGCATTTCACGGTAATCATACCTAACAGGAACAGGGGAGAAAAGAGAAAATTCAATTAGTGGTGAGTCCTAGAGTAACTGGGCGTGAAAATGCAAACAGCTGTTGAGACACATCTGGATAAAATCATCTCTGACCAAGACCGCTCACCACCAGGTTAACTAGCTCCCTCTGTGCATGCGTGTCAGCCATCTCCCTGCTCCTTTTTGTTCACCCTAAGGAGCAACCACCATGGGAGAGAGCTGGGAAGAGTGGTAATGAAACTGAGAATGAAGGAAATCATTTTGCCTTTGCAATAATCAGTCATTTCTACACAAACAGGCGTGCCTTAGTTCTAACAATAAACGTGTATTAAAGATTTTGATACCCAAAGCATTGTTGTGGCACTTCTGCGACCCTGATTTCTTTTCAGATTTAGTCAGTCGTGCAAAACTGTGTTCATTTCTGCGCAAGAGGCTTGTACAAAGCAAAAAACATAAAAGCTATGCCAAAAAAATATTCCCTTATCAAGCAGGCACGAAAAAAAGGATGGGGGGGAAAAGGGGGTGTTACAGTGACTCACTTGGTGGTTATTGCCCTGTGTGGTGAGAGGGATAAACTGCCAAATTTTGGCAATGAACCACATAGCTGCAACGACCCCTGCTCCTCCGAATTAAAACTTTAAGTGCTTATGGACACTCCTGTTTTGTTTGGTTTTTTTTTCTGATTCAATCAATCACCTCAAAACCATTTACCAAAAACACACATCAAAATCTAACAGTTTCCAGCCTGTTATTAGCTAATTGTACTTCTGGCAAACCCGTGGAACTGTGAATGGCACCGACACCGTCTGATACAAAAGGATCCAGATTAAACACCCTCCGTTTTCCAGAGTGTCCTGGCCTCTGTAGACAGATAACTTGTGGCACTGAAATTTTTTAACACTAATAATCTAATTTAACCGTAACCTGCAGGCAGTTTTTTAGTATGAGTGTATATGTGTATGTATATGCATTTGTATATGATTATATTTTATATATAAAAATGTCTGGATCTACATTTGTATTCTCACGCAGGCCAGACAGATGGGAGTAAGCCAATTTTCAATTATAAGCTCCGTCTTTAGGAAAAGGCATCTTGCAAAGGCCCATTTGCTTAAACAAGCGTGTACAGCTAATTTGCACAAGAAAAGGTCACTGTGAATGGATTAAGATTATCTCCACTGAGAGTAAAATAAAAACTCTCGTTGCATTAATTAAAACTACAAAACAGACTTTAAAGTACTATTTTTTTAAAAAAATTGTATCTCAACTTCGGTTAAAATACACATGTACGTATTGCATCCAAGTGACAGCAATTTCTTTTCCTCCGTGTGGGAGATGATTGATTGGCAGACACATCCTAGTTCACTAGCCAGCAGTGACACAGGACATGGGGGAAAATATTAGGAAACTAGAATACCAAAAAAAAAAAAAAAAGTAGCCATTTTTAAGCATTCCTTTTTCACATACCGAGGTCTGAGGCTCATCACTTTCACTGCATATTGTATGACAGAAAATGTTAATAAATACCAAAAATAGAATACCCCGTAGGGCTAGAATATGCCAGTCAGAAGTCCCCATCATTAGCTAGCTAAAAATGTAAAACCCTGTTAAGACCCCAGCATGCAACACTATCTACAAAATGTTGATGGCAGAACCAGAACACAAAGAAAAGCAGAGAACAAGGCCGGCACAAGGAGTCCTCCGTACGACAGTAGCATCTTATGTTGGGCACCTTTTCTTTCATATCTAATTTGCTGATGTTAGGATAGATTCTCAAAGGAAAAAAAAAAGGAAAAGGATTTTGCCGACAATTTCCTACCTGAAAACCAGTTAGCGTCTTGGTCCTATTTGTGCATTTTAAAGCCTAACGTGTGATTTATTGCTGAGCTCTGGAATAGCACGGTTCATGGTCATCAAGTAATTTATCTACAGCATACGTACACAGAGAGCCTCATCCTAACCTTGATCTATGGGCACAAAATTTCCATTCACACTTCAGGGAGAACACGCAAATACAACAGGAGCAGACTCAGAGTAAAGCAATATCCATTGAGAGCTGCTGCAGAGAACGAACTGCACCAGCGATTCTTCTCATGAAGAAATTTCTCTGCAATTTCAACCCAAATGTTTTAAGGTGACTCAACACCATCTTTCAGCGCAGTGCTAGCGGACTGGTTTCCAGTTTAATCCCCCTCTGTGACCAAGTGATCAAGCATCTATTTGAAATCCCCCCAGTGATCAAGCATCTATTTGAAATCCTTAAAGACACGGTGCTAGTTTTACTTCTACTAGTTCATGGGTGGGACACAAAGCACCAGGGGTACCCTGCCGTCACCAAAAGACAGAAGATAGCCCAGTATGTTTAAATACAAATTTGGAAACGCCTTTCACACAACACATGTAGCCAGCCAGAAATACATAAACATCTCTGTCAAAGCTGCAAGCATAGCTTTGTAATTTGAAGCATCACTTGCAGAGGAAATCGTTTACATGTAATAAACAGTACTTTAGAGACCAGTTTGCAGCAGAGACTGTTGTATGTTTTTCTCAGCCTGCCAGGCAGCTCTCAGAGGAGACCTTGGCCGCAAACCCATCACCCGGTGAATGAAGCTCCATCCCACAGGCCACGGTGGAGACAGAAGGCATCAGGGCAACCCTCAGTTTCAGACTCCTTCCTACTCAGCCCTGTAGGAACCAGGTTTGAGCTTTGCTAGTGTTTTGTTGGGGGGGGGGGGAATTGCTTATGTACAATTGGCATTTTTTTCCACACAGGAAGCACACGTGTCTCACCTGAAAAGCATCTCTGCACTTCCACTAACTCTGACTTGGAAATGCTTTCAGTGGAGTCAGTGACAACATCTCTGTGATTAAAGGTAATGAGTTAAATTTAAGTTATGAGTTAAATCTTTGCTGGACTTGGAATTTCTCCTTCACCTGTCCAGGAGAGAAATCGGAGCTGGCCCCGATACCCAGGAACACCCGCCCAGCTACAGCAGGACACTCGTACATTAAGTCTTGATCTGGCATCTATTGCAAATACCAGGGTCGCATCAACAGCAGGCTTGATTTCCCCACCATCTTCACTGACTAATCTCAACAAGACCTCGGGGAGGCAATGAAGTATTATAACCCTGCTTGCAACTGGTGGAGAGGCCTTAAGTTACAGAGAAGATAGTCAAGTGTTTAGAAGAGGTTCTCCCAGAGCCTCCTCTTCTTCTTCTCCCCTGGCAACAGGGGTTATATCTGTTTTCAGAACTACCTACTTCCATTAGCTGGTAATGTCTGCGTATATCAGGGAGATTTGTTACGGTTGTCCAGCTTGCATCGCTGTGGTCTCTGTAAACCTGGAGCTGCCAGCTTGGGGGGACGGATCTGCGTTATTTGGCTATCCAGATGCTCTGGTTTTACCCGGCTATGGAGATTTTTCAGGCTCCACTTGCAGCTGAGGGATCCCGTGCCACAACCAAGCCGTGGTCCGACTGGCGGCGGTGCTGCTGTCTCCCCGGCACCGCGTGGGCGGCCGGACGGGCACTTCTTCCTTACTTCTGCTGCTTCGGTGTCCCACTCTTTCTGACGCTTCCCTTTCCTTTACTACTCACAGTTAATCTTCCTGAGCATTTACTGTAGGAAAGCTTTGAGAAGAGTCATCTGCTTTGCTTGGAGGGTGTTTATTCCCAGAAAGCTCCCAGTTTTGGTGTTCAAAGACTCCCGTGGAGGGGAGGCACACATTTCTTGCTCATATTCCTGTGGTCCTTCGTTCTGCACGCTCGCATGGAGGTAACATTTTACTGCCAATTTTAGGGTCGGCCTGGCCTGGGCCTCAGCTGCATCATTCAAACATGTTAAAATCCAAAATGCGTATGCCTTCAAAATGACAGTTGGGGCTTTAAAACAAAAATAGCTACAGATTTAACCCAAAGCTGGCATTCCTCTGTAAGGATCAGCAGTGTGTTTTATTAACTTTCAGGCTTCCTTCCATAATGATTAAGTGCACCTTGTTCACAGCTAATACCTTTTTAGGCAGCATAAACAAATAGCTCTATTTGTAATCAATTCTAATTTATTCACACTTTAATTGAAATATCCCCTCCCTGCTACCACCCATAGCTGAGAAAACATGTTCGGCCCCATCTATCACGCAGGTGTAAACACTGCAACGCTGTGTGGGCAATTATCCGAAGGAGAAATGCTGCTCAGCCAAATGCTCTTACCATTTTAACTTCTTGATCCAACATGCTGCTGCTGTCTTTCCCCATCCCTCCCCACCCCCCCGCCTTCCCGCCTTTTTTTTCTTTCTGATGTGCCGACCTTGTCAGTCAGCACGTGGATTAGAGGGCTGCTTGGGATTCCTGGTTCGCCATTATCCCAAGGAGCCCGGGCAGGCTGCAGAGCCTCTACAGTGACTAATCAGCCATGCCGTACATTCCTTCTTACAGCTTAAGCATTTCCCCATGTCACTACACTTAAGAGATTATAAACTAGCCTGGGAAACATTTTCACTACCCATTTTAATATAAACTACTTTTTTCCAAGGCCACATCGTCATGGCCATTGATTGAAGAGAGGTCTGAAAGGACGCCGGGCTGTTCAGACCAGCCGATACGTCCAGCTACCCAGATGTAATGACTGTCGTACTTTATCCAGCTATATGTCACCTGTCACACAGGAATCACAAAGCAGTGTACATATTTTCTTATCTAATCCTCTGAACACTGATACGGGATGCCATCACCATTCCCATTTCACAGATGGAAAAGCTGAGATACAGATGACTGGTGGCTTCTCCAACAGCTAGACAGACCTTAGGAATGCTAACCCCAGCATCCTCGCCTGCCTCCCTCCTCTCCGGTGATGCAGTGCTCACTGAAAACCAGCTATATGTTACGGCTATCAAAATTCAGATGGACATACAGGAGCAGAACCCAAACCAAATACGATGGGTTTAACCCAGCAGTACATATTTTAACAGTGGCACACATAATCCATCTCTTGGAAGGTGCT